GATGATGAAGAAATACATAAACTAAATAAACTAATATTTGGTTTAGTTTTCTACTGAAGGGACACAAAAATAAATAAAATTAAAAAAATAAAAAATGAAAGTGGTGGGAGGAATCAAAATACAGAAAACATCTGGGGGTGATGCTGACTAGAACTAGTGTAGGTAGAGAACAAAAGAAGGGATTTGTGGTATAATATTTTTTTCATGAATAATAACTGAATGAGTGTGGGGGTTCCCCATAATTGTCTTGTCAAACATGCTTGCCTTTGTCATTAGCACAGTCCTCTCTTCACTGTCCTCCCACTGTTCTATCATGTGTCATGTGGATACTCTTGCAAATCAAACATGTTCAAATAATTTAAGCCTCCCAAAGTTTTGCTTTCACACATGATAAGGCAAAGATAATAATAATAATAATAATAAACAAAAAAACAAAAATAAATAAATAAGAAGAGTTTAAACCTGAGCATGCAACCAAATGTATGATGTAGGTTATTACAGAAATCACCCAGCAAAATTATTCTGTGCATGCATGCCAGCAAATCTCATAAATATAGTTAGCATTTAGCCTGCTGCCGTAGAAAACAAGTTAATTTCAAAATAAAAAGAAGAGAAAGAGGTTATAATGGTTGCTGCTGCTGTCTCACAAACGGCTAACACAAATTCTAAATTGTCATGCAATTGTTGAATAATTTCACCATAAAACAACATCCTGCTCAATCTTCTTGCATACATTTTCTGTCACATTTTCAGTTCAGTTTACTGTATTATCAGGATGAAAGCACATGTGAACACTGCTTTTTTTATGTTCAATGTCTTTTTTTTCCTCATACACCCATTCCTTTCTCTCAAATTGACTTTAAGCATTTTCTTTATATTAACTAAGCATTTCTTTACATTCCTTTTGGTCACAGTTTGCCACCAATTAGTGACTGCTTAAATGGAGAAGCAAAGTGTCAGTTTATAATTTGTTTTCCAGATGAAACAAGCATTGAGGTGTGTAAATTGCTACATTTTCATCCAATTAATCAAACCTTTTACTTTCTCCAGTAAAGCAGTTGACAAACCGCTGAAAAGTTTTAATTGTCTTCGAGAGAGGCATGGTTAAAATCTCCAGAGAATTCCGTGAACTCGTCAAGGTTTTGTGTTTGTAGGCTGGCAGCAAAGGAGCTGATATTGTCACACATGTTGTCAGCACAAGCTGAAGGCAACTGCTACCAAATTAGAGCAGCTAAATTTTCTACCTTATTATGCATGATATTGYTGTAGTTGTTTTTTTTTTTCCCCTGCAATAAATTAAGGTAAATTATTACCAAATAACATACCTGTTCACCAAGACAATGTAGTGACTTCATGAGACTGGTGAAATCTTGCATGGCAGGGTCATGATCATGAGAAAATCTGTCTTTCTAAATGACATTAGAATGTGTGGCTAAGACACCAGCAGGTTGACCAATTAGTGTTTTACAGTAGCACTTTCTGACAGATTTCAAAATTTGTTGTTAGTCTTATCAGCCACTACATGCTGTGAATTTTTTTCTTTCCTTTTTTTGGTGAAAAAGGATTGATGTCATCCAAATAAGCATTATTATTTATTTTTCCCCTTGTGGTTTTTTGCAGTCTGACGTGTTACATTGCAAAAAAGTTTTTTTCTTGGTTAGATATCTTTGTAAAACTGTAAATGTTTCAGTCTATTTTTGTTTGTATTTCCCCACTTTTTTCACTCTCCTTAGACCAGTGTCAGCAGATGTGCCAGGAAATAGAACTGAACCAGAGAACAACATGCAAGAGGCAATTTTTTATGGTCTAATGAAAATGTACCTTATTTTTTTTTTATTTTCCCAACCAATTCTTGTAGAGTACTATGTTACTCAATTATTTATTTATTCTGCCCACTGGCCACTTTGCTGTTCATGTCTCCAATGATTTGGCCAGACGATGGCAAATGATGGTGCAGCTGCAGTTCAAATTAAGGTTAATGGACATGCTTCTTGTAGCTTTGCAGATTTTATTGAGTTGCAGTGGTGAAGATGGATGCCAACCCTTTCATTTGTTTTAATATTTTTTACTTGGCTCCTGGTATTAATTATTCATTTGTTACAGTAAACAAAATAAAGTTGGGTCATGTCATTGTGAGATGTATAGGGAGAACATGTTAAAAAATCATGCTAAGTGATCAACGGGCTATATGCCACAGACATCCATTCTACCATTTCCATATTTTTTTGGCCACGCAGAACACTTCCGGTTTGCAGGTAAAACAGTTATGTACCAACACTACCACAGAAGATGTACTAGCTGACAAAAGTCCAACCAAGTGGAAAACATTTCTATAAAGTGGATTATAACATAAAATAAAATAAAAATATGATATTATAAATGTTTTATGGTTCCAGAAATAAACCCTTTTCCTCATTCATTGGCTTCTTATTCTGTGGATTTTTCATGTAAAGCAGTGACACTTACAGAGTTGGAAAGAACAGAGCTTCGACTTTAAATTGACGGGTATGTTTGGATGGTGTTGCACTGACGTTGGTGCACTGTAAACATGGTATGAGTTTCAGGCGGATATTCTGCTGCTCTCAGTAAAAGATTTGCACGTGGGTTGTGTCTAGACTGTAATATACATATACACACTAAGGAGTTTTTGCTTTTGTATAAAACTCATGAAAAGTTAAAATAATTTCATACTCCGTATAATACAAACACACACGCTTACGTTGTGAAGAATCTAATGTTCTTGTTGGAAGCAGCAAAACGGTGAAGGCCAAACTGCTGCCAGATAGTATCATTTACCTCCAGCACTGAATCCACATCTGCAGGGTCTGGAGCAGAGGCATAACCATGATCCTTAAGGATGTCTAGTTATACTGGCTGTTGTATCTTCTTCCTTGCTGTTCTCTGGAGGTGGTCTTTCCCTTCTCCCCCAAACCTCGAGTCTTGGAAGTGGAAGGTAGTAATTGTTCCACTCGAACAAAGCAGGTACAGCTCCCTTTTTTAACCTCCTTCTTCCCATTTCTGATGCTGGCTCTTGAATATCCTCAGGTTTGAAATACTGACTACAAATGCGAGCGTGAGCTTTTATAGCTAGCCACCATCCAGTGTCGCCTTAACTCCTCAACAGGAAAATGGAAAAAAAAGMCTAACTACTCTGTTGTACCTACTGGTTAGTGGACACAATGGCACACAGCAGAACTCACTTGTTGTACCAGTAGCTTGCAGATGTTTTAACTTTTGTGAATTTTTCATGGTCTAGATAACATGCAGCCGGTAGGAACCGGAAGTGATATACATGGCCTACATTTTAATGGAAGTACGACACCAATATATGTGGCATATAGGCTATTAGCAGGGCATCACTAGATAGAATAAATACATATTCTTATTTTTTCCTCAGATGGGTACACAACTGATGACATTGAATTCTACTGGCGAGGAGGAAACAATGCTGTGACAGGTGTGGACAAGATTGAACTACCCCAGTTTTCCATCGTGGACCACAAGCTCATCTCCAAAAATGTTGTATTTTCCACAGGTAATGCCAGTGAAGAACCAAAAACATCATTTGAGTCACAAGTCACTTTACATGTTGTATTTACCAGTCTGATTTGAAAAATGAAAAAGCATCAGCTCTTGAAATGGAAATGGCAAGCTATGGAAAACAGAGCTCCAAATGAAGCGCTATCCTTGGAGACGAAAAACACAATGACTTATTTACCAGCAATAAACAAAAGAACACTGTCTGACACAATGAAATATTAATTTTTTTTCTGCATTTACATATTTATGAATTTGTCATGCAGCTAAGCATTTGGCAGCAGGATAATAAATCTTTTGACTGCAGGTTCTGTGGTAGTTATTGCACTGTAAAACTGCACATTAATACAATAATAATATATCATTTTCACTGGGAATAGTTTGTTTCATCTGCAGGAGACACCAAAGAGTGCAAACTTAATAGAATAGCCCTTACTGAGGACTGAACATTATGTCTCTGAGTGTAAAGCAATAATACCTAGGCATACAGTATTTGCACAAGTGTGTCTCTGTAGAATGACATGCATTGTGTTATGCAGAAGACTGGTGACTGGGAAAATTCCTCTTTAAACATTCTGTCTCCTGCTATGAGAAAAACAAAACAAATGCCATCAGGTAACTCAGAAGTGCACACATCGGCATATTTGACTGGGCAGGTTCCCAATACAAATGTTGTGCTTTACCCCAAGAAAAGGTAATGTCATCACTGACCTTATGAACAAGAAAGGATTTGCTACAAAGCACTTTTTTGTGTGTACCAAAGCACGGTGCTTGATTCAGATAAATAATTATATTATTTTTACAATTACTCATGTTAACGCTCATGTTCAGTATGTTTTGGATGGATGTATTTTTATCTACAAGAATAAAGTCGCATTATTATGAAAAAATGCCTAATATTAGGTAACCTATTTGATATGCATAATTTTACAATACATACAGTATTTCCAGGCTATCAAGTGCTATCAGACCATAGATCACATTTGCTTTTACAACTGAGCCAAAGTCATTTGTTAAAAATGAAAAACATGTSAACTGAAAATAGTTATTTATCATTTAGAATGTGTGGCAGTGGTTTAGACATAATGGACAATCCTAGAATGATTTGAACTTTTAATAATGAAATAACAAATTGGTCACTGCATCATTTAGAATCAAATGTCTTGTTGTTAGCTAATACAGTCATCTTTGTCTGGCCAATGACTGTACAAAAAATTTAAAAAAATAAGAGTTCTGTTCATTTTTGTACTCTGTCCTTGTTCTTCTTTTCAACAGGCTCTTATCCCCGCCTGTCCTTGAGTTTTAAGCTAAAAAGAAATATTGGGTATTTCATCCTGCAGACGTACATGCCTTCTATCCTCATCACCATCCTCTCATGGGTCTCCTTCTGGATCAACTATGATGCYTCTGCTGCCAGGGTGGCTCTAGGTGAGCACGCACTACAGTTGTTATAATTTGTTGGGAAAAACGGTTAGTAAAGTTTAAGCAACCAAAAAAAATGGATCTGCCATTTCAGAAATAACCTGACTGGCTGACAATCTACACCAGCAGTTTAAAGATTTAACTTTAAATAAAACGAAAAAAGAAAGTTACAACCAAGTTACAACTGGGRGTAAAAAAAGTCTGCATTTGACAAAATTTAACGTTCTAGTTATCATGTTTTGTTCTAAACAAAGCATGTCCTCTTCTAAAGTGATCTACTGCACACAACACATTTTTTGCAAATATTATAATTATCACAGATTATGTAAGGTTTATAAATCAGTGTTGAGTTTACAGATATGTTATTGTATACAACATCCACATTGTTTCTGGCACCTCTGTACATTTCTCTAATTCTCAATTTCTCCTTCTGTGTTCCTTTTATCTGAAACCAATGTTCACTCTGAGGCTTGTTTTAAGCTTCTCTGTGTTTACTGGAAGCTTGTTGTCTTCTTTTGACTCAGCTCCATTCAGCTAGCTTTATCCGTCCTTGATCCAACCCTAGGTTTAGTTGACAAGGCAATTTCACTGATTGACGACTGAGCTGCATTTGGTGATCCAGTGGGAAGGTGTGTGTGGGATGCAACGAAAAAAAAAGTTAATGTGTCTTAATGGGAGCAGGTCAACTGTATCTGGAAATGTCTGGTCGTGGCCTTTTCCACACTGGATTTAGGAACTTCCTTACTCTGACCTGGTTTCAAGACATGCAAATGGACCTGTAAAAGCTGAACCACATGGGCCTCTCAAATGAGAAAATCAGTGTTTTTAGGGACTTGGAAAACCTGTGAGATTAAATTGACTGCATTTTTTGTTTGGACAATGGTCACTTGATATTTTTTGGGACAATTGCAGGCTTTGCTGTGGGGGAGGAGTAGTGGAGGGAGGGCTATAGTGCACGTCAAGCTGTACATGAATTACACAGATTCCCCCCCAATTTGCAGGTATACAAACGTCTAGAGAAATCTCACCATTTTTTTTTCAAAACTCATGGATTTTCTCACAAACTCTGCTTCAAAATTATCTTATGTCTCACAGCCTGTATGACTTAAAAATAAACAAACAAAGAAAAAACTCAACAAATAAAATTAAATCACCAACTCCCAACCCAATCCGCTGCTATATATATAAGTTTCCTCAGGTTTCCCTACTGCAGCTTTAATACAAAAGTTAGTAATACATCATAATAAATCATTTTATTAACTGTGTTTATATTACACTCTGAAATGGTCTCTCTTTACCAGGTATTACCACGGTCCTTACCATGACAACCATTAACACCCACCTGAGAGAAACCCTCCCCAAAATTCCATATGTCAAGGCCATAGACATGTACTTGATGGGCTGCTTTGTATTTGTCTTCCTGGCCTTGCTGGAGTATGCCTTGGTGAACTACATCTTCTTCGGCCAGGGTCCCCAACGTCAGAAAAAAGCAGCTGAGAAGACAGCAACAGCAAACAATGAAAAAATGAGGATGGATCCAAATAAGGTAACTTGTTAGGAYAGCTAGGCTGACACATCCATTTGTTATACCATACCACTAAGACACACTCACCCAAAGAAAACCCAACCAAGAAGGATCATCCCCTTAGTGTGTGTCCCTTAGCTGTTTTCAGATGGAACATGCTCGGTATATCTATACGCACAGATTAACTATCTTCCCACTAAATTGATGCAACGTTCTGCTTCAATCTGCTTGCAGTGGCTCGTGGGGAATGTGGTTGGCAGAGATGATACCCTGTATGCAAGAATGAAACAAAGAGATCTAGCTGGTCATGACTCAATGTGGGAGCCAATTTTTATGGATGATGCAGCAATTGGACTTGGTGATCAAAAGCATAAGGTAAGGCAGAAATTTCCTTTATACATTCATAGCATTAATGGTTCTAAACAATTGTACTGATTTTGACAATGCACATTCAATTAATTGTGTCTTTGAAAGGAGCAGAGTTCTGGCATGTACCAAAATAAAGTTTTAAATGTTATCAGAATATATATATATGTATGTATATTAATTATTACAATGACTTATGTTTTGGACATGGTAACTCATAGCGTTTTTAATTTCATCATACTGACAACAAAAGAATGAGAAAAAAATCATCATACTGATAATTTGTCTTATTTGGTTTATTCCTTTCAGAGAACTACAGGTTGTGTTTGTAAATGAAAAATTACTTTAAAAAAGACTAAAATCATTGGAAGGTTTCAAATTTATTTCCCTTTTTTTTGGGCAGATGGACCCACATGAAAACATCCTCTTGGGCACTCTGGATATCAAGAATGACATGGGAGTTACAGAGCTGGCTCTGGGTCTCAATGACCCACGAAACACCATGCTAACATATGACAGCTCTAATCTACAGTATCGTAAAGCAGGTCTGGCGAGGCACAACTTTGGCCGAAATGCACTGGAGCGCCATATGGCTCAAAAGAAGAGCCGACTACGGAGGCGGGCTTCACAGTTAAAAATCACCATCCCAGATTTGACTGATGTAAACTCCATTGACAAATGGTCAAGAATGATCTTCCCCACTGTTTTTTCCTTCTTCAACATTGTTTACTGGCTTTATTATGTCAACTAAAAACAATAAGACACTGGCAAGAGCAAGCACAAGCATCCAAACATGTTATTAACATCCTGTTTGTATCTGGTTTGTCTCATATGTATGCAGTGATGTGGTATTAGACTGAAGTCAGGACTTGATCTATCATTAGGAACTCAGTAACTGCTGGCTACCACATGGAAAACCTTATAGAAAAGAGATTATATACAGTACATAAGGTGCCTATTCCTGAATAACTGTTTACATTTTTTTAATTTATTTATTTTTAGTTTATTTTAATATGTATGTGTCTTTTTTATTTTTTGTCTGTTTGCCATTATATGTATTTTTTGTTTGGTCAGATCTATAACATTCTTAATCCACTACCATGTTACAAATGATTTGAAACAAAATTATGAGTTAACACTATTCTTAAAAAATACAACAATCAAGAAAATCACTGAAAACGTTTCAAAGTGGCGCAACAAATTTTCAGGATAACAATTTTTTAATGTTCTTTGCCTGACAATTTACATCTTTTTTTTTTCAGATATTGAAATCTTTGTTATTCTTTCCTACAAAGGAAAATGCATGATTCATTTCTAACATTTCTTGACTTTCAAAATGTCCAGGGTTTTATTTAAAACATGTCCAAAAAGCTTGCTGAATGTTTAAATATGTATTTATCTTTGTGTACTTATTACTACAGTATTTTGCATTTGCTATGTGTAAAAAAATAAAACAACACAGTATATTGTACTAAAACTGCAATTAAAATGGCAAGACACAAGAAAAGCCCAAATGCATAAAAATACACTTTTTTTTCCTTTAGAACAAATGTTGACAGTTATTTTAATAGTGTTTACATTCTTGACAATATTTTTAGAAAATTATGAATTTGATAATTTTAAGTCATTTCTTGCTTCCACAATTAAGTTGTATATAATTTAAACATTTTTTGTTTGWTTGTTTGTTTCAGGCCAAACCAAGGTAACACTAATTTTAGGGTTGTAATTTACAAGAATCTAATACTTTGTTCTCTCTCAATGCGGTGCAATAAGATCCAAATCAGAGTGTGAWTAATGTCATTTCCACAAATTAACCTATAGTAACATAATGATGCCATGTTTATAGTAAAATATTAACTAAGACTTGTGCAAATTTGTATCTACAGAAGCAGTGCTAATACGAAGAAAATCATGAAAATATGTGTGCCTACGCATTTAATAACAGGTTCTTTTAAAACAAGAAGGAAACATGACAGTTTGTTTCTCCTAGTTAAATATCCATAAAGACATTGAGCCGGTATTCAACACAATGTAYTCAGTTGTTGACATATTTTCTAGACACATATTACTGATAATCTGAATTTTCTTTACAGTAGCAACTTTTCATTATTTATTTTTTCCCAATTTTCTTTATATATTCATTTGTGAAGTGTGCTTATGTCTTTTTGAGAAGTATGCCTAACATTTTAAATAAGAATCATATTATTAAAAATTAGAAAAAAAATCCAAAATGCATTGATGTATGAGTGCAAGTTCATTTTAACAAAAATGCCATAGTAAAAAAAAAAAWTAAATAAATAAATAAAGAGCACAATTTGACAATAAATAAAAAAGGTAGTATACATTTGTTCCAATGGCTTTTGAACCTTAGTCATCAAAAGTATGTTTCTTCCATTTTATTGCTTGTCATTACAGTATAAACTGCAGTTAGACACTAAACCAGTGTATTATCAATACAAATATATATTTTTCAAAACATGCTGAATTGTAATTAAGTTTGTATATTAAAAAGTACATTCTTAGAGGGTCAATTGATCTTTGGGGTAAACTGATAAGTGGGATTGGTTTTTCATACAGTATTTAACAGTTCAGAAAGGATTACAATTTACAGTACAAAATACAGAAAGGAAAATTATGTATTCTGTATTTTTTGTTCAAATAGAAGACACAGATTTATGCAAAGCTCGAGGAAAAAACAAAGGACAAAAATCATTAACTATGAAACATATGGAAAACCTAAATCCTTGACAAATAGGGTAAAACCTGAAAGTTGCAAGGTAGAAGTGCAGGGTTTAACTGTAGAAGTGGGCACTGAGACTTGGAGAGGGAGGAGTGGGTATAAAATATAGACAAAAGACAAAATCAGAATGGACATCTGAACAACATTAAAAAAAAAATTAATAAAAAAATGTACACACAGGGAATGGCAATGTTATTAATATTTGGAACATATTATTGCTGTAAATACATACAAATCAAACAATTGGGATTTTCATCTCGTGTATGGTATATTGCCAAGAATGAAAAGGGTGATGTGAAACAATGTAAATAGTATATTTTAAAATAGAAATTGATAACATTTTGCCTATTTATTTTTCATCTGTTTATTCCAGTAAAAATCATTGTTTTTGCCATAGTATGAAGGTGTATTTATGAATGTAGTTGATTATTTTGCACCATGTATTTGCTGTAAAATGTCAGCAAAAGTATGATGAGTTTTGGTAACAATGATCAGCTAACTGCATCTCTGTGAATGCCATTTTATTTTTAAACACTTAAGTTCTGAGGTCAGTACTCTCTAGGACACACTTCAGTCATCCAATGCTGTGACAATTAGCCCTACAACAACCACAACTTTTCTAAATCAACTGTATTTAAAAAAATCAGTTGGTTTATTTTTCTGTTTTTTTTTTTTTCTAAATTGAACTTGAACTTCACATTAATATATAGTAACATATATATTATACTGATTGTACCAATTCAGTTTTGGCACAGGTCATTTTACCATAAATATAATTCAGACTATATGACACTAAATCCACCTCCACTATTAGAGTCATTGGAGTAGTGCTGAGTTATGGTGCAGTGCATTTAGGTATGAAAGTGCATTAAGAATGAGTGATGGCCAGACACAAAGGTGTCAATGAACACGAACAAAACCCAGTTTGGATATTTTTTTTTTTATTCACAGTACATTTTGTTTTTGTTGTTTTATATATTTTTATACTTCTATATTCTATGTAAAAATACAATTTTCTAAATAATATTGTACAGAATGATTACATTGTCCTTGAGATATAATGGAAATGTATTGATTGATGTATGCTAATGAAATATTTTCAATATAAGTTGTAACTACAAGCTTTTAGATAGGATGAAAATGACTTCTTTGTCCTGGAAAGGGGGGGGGGGGAGTTTTGCAAATGCAAGGTTTTTAGTTGACAGTAGAGTCTCCCCTGGAGCGTAAAGAAATACTGATATTGTAAAAGCCTACACGGCACATCTTGGTGTATGTTTGCACACACTCACAGAAGAAGCCTTAGCCTCCTGCTGCCCTGGACCTCTCTACAAGCAGCTTCAAACCTACTTACCCTCTCAGCACCCTCAACACTGATGCGGTGTGCTACTCACAAGAACAATCCATGAAACACCAAGCTCTTCCCTTCTTTAAGATAAACTCTGTAAAAGTCAGTCTTTGTCTTTACTATAAAATATATAAAATTACTACTTTGTCAATAAATATTGTAAATGGTTCTGAATATGTGTGCTTATTTCCTCACTTAAATTAAAAAAGAGAAAACAACAGAATTACTTTTCTTATATAAAGAATGTGAGTTAATGCATAAATTAAAGAACTAAATCCTTCTTATGTGGGTGGCCGTGGGTGGTTAGGGGAATTGTCCTGTAACTGGAGGGTTGCTGGTTCTATCCCTCGTTCCAGTTGTCTCGGCTGTTGTCCTTGAGCAAGACACTTCACCCGCTTTGCCTACTGATGGTGGTCAGAGGGTCCAGTGGTGCTGGTGCATGGCAGCCCCACCTCTGTCAGTGCACCAGAGGGCAGCTGTGGCTACAATGTAGCTTGCCATCATCAGTGTGTAAATGACTGTAAAGTGCTTTGGGGTCCTCATGGGGCTTCATAAAGCGCTATATATGTTCAATCCATTTATTCACCAAATTCTAATAAATCCAAGTGTGTGATAACATTGACATATTTTTTCTTAAAGATGTGTGCGGATTTTTTTTCCAAAGGAGCTTTGTTATGTATATCACTGCAGAACTTGTGTGAAACCAATTTAATCAAATGTCATTATAGATACAAACATCTTGATATGTGTTTCTTCAAATATTCCTAGACACTATAAAAAGGGACACATCATGTGAAATCCACTTTTTTAGCTGTTAAATACATTTTGCTGTGTACTTGAAGTTTCTAGGAGTGCAGAACAGTTGAATTTAGTTTGTGCTGTGTTGAAATTTTTATATTCTGTTGGGGTCATATTTTTCAACCTGTTCAGTTTTCTCAATTTTCTATGACATTTTCTGAACTACTATGTCACAGTATTAGCRATTGAACTGCTAAATTGAGTCTAGACTTATCAACTACAATTTCCTCGTCTTAATTCTTCTCTGGCTCTGCGTCAGACTCTGGCTCCAACACGTAAGGCTGGATGGACAAGTCTTCTGTTGTTGACATCTTAAGTTAATTTGCAAATAAACAATTTTCAATGATGCTATACAGTCATAAACCCCTCTATCGAGGTAYAACAGACTGGTCTGAAAGCTGGAAGGGGGTGGGACATGAAAAGCCTCCTTTGGATGTAAAGAAACAGCCTCAAAACGAGTTGATCTGAGACACACATCAGAAAAGGGTGAAAGAGGGACTTGTGGAGTTACAATAAGAAGAAATTCATTCCAAATCATTGAAGCTTCAATAGGCCCCAACTGAATGATTTATATGTGAAAAGGAAGGATTTAAAAGCACATGTCTAGTTAAAAATATAATCTTGTTGGTCTGTACACCACCTGTTGAAGGAATATCCATTTTTGTTGTTACGGTTGAGCTTAGTTGGTTTGAACCCCAGGATGCAAGGCTGAGTGAGGTGGCAAAAAAGGTTTATTAACGTAACAAAAACAAAGGTGCTGACGTGGCAGCAAACAAGAACAAGGGCTTTGGACAGGAACATGAACAACAAACAGAAAACAAGGATCTGACAAACACTGAAGACACTGAACAGAATATAAAGGGAAAGCTAATGAGCTAAAACAAGAAACACCTGGGGAAGATACATGAGGATCAGGTGTGAGTGGGCGGGGCTGGAGTGCAGGCAGACAGGAGGAAGAAAACAGATGACAAGACAGAAAACTRGAACAAAACWTTAACAAAGACACCAATCATAACATWTGCAACTWAATRTARTTATTTTTATCTGTCAAATTGCATTTTAAAAGGACATGACTGAGACGGCTTAAATGACAGATCGTACCAACAACCCACCGGTTACAGGACAACCCYYTAAACCACCCTGCCTCAGCCGCCCCTCAATATATGGCAGCTAATGAGATTTGCATCTTCTGGCAATGAAAATTCATTGAAATTTGCACAGTCTTTTAATATAGGCAGAGTGTAATGCTGAGATTTGAAAGCAAGCCACTGTGGAGTAGAAATAGATCAGTGGTGTCTCTGGGTGCCAGGACATGAGTCACAACACTGAACTGTGGGCAGTCCTGGCATCCTAACAAAGATGTTAAGGTCTAAAACAAAATGTTTCTTTTCATATTTCACCCACAGCACTCATTTTTGGTCATTGTCCTCTGGCCTTACAGTTTGTGTTGCAGGAGAAGATTAATTAGCCAAAATGTTAAACTTGCATTGTTTAAAAGAGGAAATCATCTACAGGGAAATATTTAAAAGGGAAAAAAAAGTCAGAAAGAGTATTTTAAGCAAATTAAGATGGTTTGACAGTAACTGTCCTTCCAAGTGTGTACAGCCTGTGTCTTTCTGTACATTTGCAAGTTGATTGGTCACAACTCAGTAGTCTAATAGTATCAAGCCTTAGTTGACATCTGTACCCCATCTGTACATATACTTTTTCTTAGTCTCTGAGCTCCCTGGTGAGTGAAAGCCAATCTGACAGTCTGATGTCTACGTTACTTAAGTCACTTTTCATTTACTTTCCTTTTCTTCTTCACCTTTTGATGGAACTGCTGTCAGTCCCTTTAACATATGTGCCACAGTTTAACTCATTGTAGACAAAATGTATTTTTCTCTACTACCAGTAGAAAAATACAGTCTGCATAGAAGAAAACTACAACCACCCGACCCACCCACCCACCAACCAACACACACAGTGTTCCACAGCAGTTCCACACCAATGGATATCTCTAAGACCCATGCAAGACCAAATTAGATTAGAATGCTTAAACCTTTATTGTTGCCATATTTACTTTTAATACATAAAACTACAAGAAGCATCTCTATGTTTTAACTTGCATTTCTTCTTTTTGTTAGTCAGTTTGCTTAGTATTTAGAATAAATATATGTTAATGGGACGCTGCACACTAATTGAGATTGTGATTAGAGTGAAGCTTCTGTCAGGCAGTACCAATGTGTGCACATGCRACTGTGTGTCTATGAGTGTGTTTACATGTGCAAATTGCCACTGGCTTGCTTGTCAACAAAACTCAGCCAAATTTTTCAAATCCAATGAAACTGATTACACAGTGTAGTGCATCAATGTGTTTTGTCATGTACAAGTGAAAGGTTTTTTTTTTTTTTTTTTTTTCTAA